CTGGAATTTGACACAACACTGTAAAATGATTATGAATCAATAAAAAATGTAAAAAAAGAACAGATCTTACTTAATCTACTGTATGTAAAATACTATCATTTTGACATGTAATCAATACAGAAAGTAACAAGATAGTTTACATCCTTTTTACTAGACAAGTCTCAGCGTCTGATGAGCATTTGACCTACAGCACATCTCAGCTCAGTCCAGCCTCCTCCCCAGCACTCCTAGCATCAGTGGCTGTGGCTGCTCTATTGGACAGCAACTCCAGGGGTCCCACCAGGGGTCCTGGCTGAAAAGCTGGAGTAAGTGTCCACACTAACCCTAAAAGGATCTCTCTGAAACAAAGGTGGATTCACTTTTAAATGTCTGTAAACCGGCGGGCTGCACCTCCCTCCCCCCTTGGCTACAAGACAGCCCTCTTCCTTGCTAATCCCTTTCTGGATGTAGGGAAGCAACCCAGCACTCAGCCAGGGCGGCCAGGCCTCCAGGAAGAGTTACCTGCTGTCTGTGTCTAGTCCCATGAAGTCCTCCTTCTCAAACAAGATGCAGAGAAGGGGGATCTTGTCCCCAGACTTGTCGGGGGCCCCATCCAGCCACTTGGACATCAGCATGATGAAGAGTGACTCAGTGAATTCCTTGATCCTCTTCTCCACCACCCTGCAGCCCTGGTAGATTGAAGGCCACGTCAGTGCGCGTCTGCTCGGCTACCTACACATGCAGCACAAAGACAAAGAGCTGAGAGTCATAAAGCCTGGTGCCATACATCTCCTCTGCACGTGGATTTTCTCGAAGGCCTTGGCCGAGAGGCAGTCGGTAATGGTGACAAGGCCCACGACCTTGCAGTGGGTTTGGAAGTTGCTCCACCCATTCTCAGGTGCATAGTGGTGCCTGTAGTGGATACAGAGTGCCTACTGGGAGCTACATGGGCTGATCTGGCTCACCAAGGAGATTCGCTTACAGATGCAAAAGAAATTCTCCTCTAAGATGATCCCCACGGGTTGGACCACCACAGGGAGAGTCTCGTAGTCCTCAGCACACTGCAGGAAGTCAGGGATGCTCATGTTGCAGGCCCTTCCAAGAGGGGAGAGGAGATCGAAGTACATACTGTGCTGTGGGCTGTGGGCCCCTCTGAGTTGCGGTGACCTGGTGTGTAACAGCCAGAAGGCAAGGGAAGCCCAAGCAAAGCTGGGGGTAAAGTTTGTCCTCAGAGTCTGCACATGGCTACTGTAGCTCAGAACACATTACCCAGATTTTGGTCTAGGCTTCCTGCCCCTGCAGAAAAGGGACATTTCTTGTTTTCTGTTTCCAAGCACCTAGCCAGACGCTGATGCAAAGTCAGTGCTCAAAACTGCTGAATAAAGAAATGAACAAAGGAACTGCTTTCCCCACCCCCCTTCAGCAGAATATAAAGAAAAGAACCACAGTGGGATCAAAAGATCTGGATTTCAACTCCAATTTGTTTGAACTCCTAAGCTGCAGAATAATGGATAAGAAAACTTGCCTTGGGGAGGAGGGTACAGTTCAGTGGTAGAGCACATGCTTAGCATGTACGAGGTCCTGGGTTCAATCCCCAGTACCTGATTTAAAAAATGAAACAAATAAATAAACCTAATTACCCTCCTCAAAAAATATTTTTTAATTCAAAATTCAAAAAACACCTTGCAATTGACACAACATCATAAACTTGACTATACTTCAATTAAAAAAAAAATTCCTTGCCTTTCAAGAATATATCTCGATTACGGAAGTTTGCAAATGTAAAATGCCTAGGGTACATCCTGCATAAAAAGGGGGAACTGTAAATATTTACTATCCCTCCTTTATGAGCTATATTTCCTTTGGAGGGGTTATAACCTCTCAGAGCTAATTTTCTCAGATTAAAAAATAGAAAACATTACCTGATTCTCAGTACTGCTGAAGAATCTGATAACCCTATGAAAGCATCTGACACACAGAGGTTACTCAATAAATGTTTGTTGAATGAATGAATAATCAAGCAAAGTGGATGCTGCTCCCTGACACAGACCATCATAATGGTACTGCCTGGAAATCCCAAGCCCACGTTCCACCTGACTCTACACTAACCATGTGGATGACCTGGG